ATAATAATACTTTGACTTCCTCCTTTTTAATTTGTATCCCCTTGATCTCCTTTAGTTGTCTTACTGATCTAGCTAGAACTTCAAGTGCTATATTGAATAGATATGGAGAGAGTGGTCAGTCTTGTCTTGTTCCTGATTTTAGTGGAATTGCTTTTTTTAACTTTCTCTCCATTTAAGTTGATATTTAAGTTGGGCTTGGTATAAACTACCTTTATTATATTGAGCTACATATTATCATGAAGGAGTGTCAGATTTTGTCAAAGGCCTTTTCTGAATCTAATGAGATGATCATGTGGGTTTATCTTGTTTATATAGTAGGTTACATTTATTGATTTTCATATATCGAACTTTTCATGTGACTCTGAAATGAAGCCTACTTGATCATGGTAAATAATCTTTTTTATGTATTCTTAGATTTCACTTAGACACATTTATTAACAATTTTATCATATAAATATATACATGGGAAATATATACATGGGAAATTTGTATGTGTAATAGTAATTTGAATTTTCTTGGGGCAGAGAGTGGCACTATTAGGAGGTGTGGCCTTGTTGAAGTATGTGTGTGTAATGAGATCCTCTTCTTAGCTGGCTGGGGGACAATCTTCTCCTGGAAACCTTTGGATTAAGATAGAGAATTCTCTGCTCCTTCTGAGCCTAGACTGCGTAGACACTGCCATGCTCTGATCTTGATGATAATGGATTAAACCTCTGAAACTGTAAGCCAGCCCCAATTAAATGTTGTCTTTCATAATAGTTGCCTTGGTCATGGTGTCTCTTCACAACAACGGAAACCCTAACTAAGGCAGTCTGTATTTCTCTTTCTTTGCTGTTGTTGGGTCTGTATGTGTTTTGGGTACCAGAATAACTATGGCCTTGTAAAATGAATTGGATAATGTCCCTCCAATTTTTGTGGAATAATTTAAGGTATATTAGTAACACTTGGAAAGTCTTGTAGAATTCTGTACTAAAAATCATATGCTCTGTTTTGGTTTTGGTTGGGAGACTTTTAAATATTGCTTCTATAGGTCTATTTAAATTGCCTCTCTGATCTTGATTTAATTTTTGTCAGTCGTAGGTGTCATGAAAATTATCCATTTCTTTTAGACTTTCCAATTTGATGGAGTATGGGTTTTTAAAGTTTGTCCTTTAGATTTTCTAGATTTCTTCCGTGTTTGTTGCTTTGTTCCCGTTTCATTTCTAATTTTGTTAATTTGCATACTTGCTCTAATTTAATTTAATTAAGGGTTTGGCTATCTTCTTGATTTTTTCAAAGAACCAACTCTTCGTTTCATTGAATCTTTGTAAATATTACTTTTTGTTTCTATTTAATTTATTGTAGCCCTGAGTTTGATTATTTCTTGCCATCTACTCCTCTTGGGTTTGATTACTTCGTTTTGTTCTAGATTTTTCAGGTGTGTTGTGAGGTGGCTAGTATGAGATCTCTCCTTTTTTTGTAAGTAGGTACTTAGTGCTATAAATTTTTCTCTTATTCATTGTGTCCCATAAGTTTGGAAATGTTGGGTGTTCATTTTTATTGAATCCTAGGAAAGTTTTAATTTTTTTCTTAACTTGTATCTCAATCCACTTTTCATTCAGTCCAAGAGTTGTTCAGTTTCTATGAATTTGTAAGTTTTCTGTTGTTTCTTTTGTTGTTAATACCCAGTTTTAGATTGTGATGGTCTGATAGAATGCAGGCAAGTACTTTGATTTTCTTGTATCTGTTGAGGCTTGCTTTGTGACCAAGTATGTAAACAATTTTGGAGGAAGTTCCAGGAAATGCAGAGAAGAAGGTATATTCTTTTGTGTTTGAGAGAAATGTTCTCTAAATATCTGTTAGATCCATTTGATTTATAACATCTGTTAGTTCCAATATTTCTCTGTTTATTTTTTTTGTCTGAATCACCTGCCCATTGGTAAGAATAGGGTACTGAAGTCTCCCATTATCAGTGTAAGGGTTGATATGTGATTTAAGCTCTAGTAATGTTACTCTTAGGAACTTGAGTGCTCTTGTATTTGGGGCATAGATGTTAAGAATTGGAATGTCCTCTTGTTGGATTTTTCCTTTAATGAGAGTGTGGTGTCCTCCCCTATATCTTCTGATTACTGTTGAAGTCTATTTTGTCAGATGTTTAAATGATTATACTAGCTTGCTTTTTAGGTCCTTTTGCTTGGAATATTTTTTTCTATCCTTTTACCCTGAAGTTATGTTTATTCTTGATGTTAAGTGTGTTTCTTGGATGCAACAGCAGGATGGATTCTCTTTTCATACCCATTCTGTTAGTGTGTGTCTTTCTTTCTATTGGGGAATTGAGACAATTGATGTTGAGAGATATCAATTTGAAGTTTTTGTTGATTCCTGTTATTTTATTGTTGATGTTGATGTTGTTGTTGTTGCTGTTTGTGTGTGGTTCCTCTTTTTTGATTTTCTGGTCTGGGGTTATTTATTCCTTGTGTTTTCATGGGTGTGGTTAACCTCTTTGGGCTGGAGTTTTTCTTTCAACACTTTCTATAGGCCTAGATTTTTGTCCATAGATATTCTTTAAATCTGGTTTTATTATGGAATGCCTTATTTTCTCTATCTATTGTGATTGAAATTTTGCTAGGTATAGTAGTATCTTAGTTAGGGTTACTGTGGCTGTGATGAAACACTATGAGCAAAGCAAGTTGGGAAGAAACTGTTTATTTTACCTACATTTTCATATCACTGTTCATCACTGAAGGAAGTCAGGACAGAAACTGAAGCAGGGTAGGAACCTAGAGTCAGGAGCTGATAGAAACACTGTGGAAGAGGAATGCTTTCTGGCTTGCTTATCATGGCTTACTCAGCCTGCTTTTTTACTGAACTCAGAACCAAGATTCCAAGCCTGGCAACACCCACAATGGGCTGGGGTCTTCCCCATCAATCATTAACAAAATACCTTCAGCTGAGCATTATAGAAATCTTGTATTGGTCACATAGCCCTTAGTTCTTCCTAATGGTCAGTGGTGCAGATATGCTTTCACTTTTCCCGCCTTCTCCCAGAGCATGGATTCAGAGCTATTTAAAGCTGTCTTTGAATTGCAATTTTTCTGACATCCAAATAAAAATCATTATTCACTTTTGCACTTTCTGAGTTTGGATTGATTGGCAATCTCCAGTCAGATTTCTTTTAAAAAGAATGTATGGATAGAATGGAAACTCCAACTTCTATAAGCCAAGACTGAAAATCTCATGCTGTACAGCTCGAGCTCTAGACATGCTGTAACTGTGCAGTTGTTCAGGATTTTCCATAAATTTGAGATCAATACAAGTTCACATATCTAGGCAGAGGTGTTGGTGTGCCTAGAGGCTCCAGATGCTGGATATTTCTATTTTATTTACACATTCTCTTTATGTATATGAACTGAAGAGAGTGGAATCCCATTAGACCATAGCAAAGACAATTTGGTTTTCTAAACAACCTTAACGGAAAGCAGAATTGAAGCTAACAGACTAATAATTATTTGCATCAATAAAGCAAGAACTAAGAAACACTTGTTACTTAATAGTTATTAAAATTAGTATAATAAGATGCATGATAATAAAGGTAAGCAATTCAATTTTCAGGGATATTGCCTGCTTAGAGGCATTCTTTCACAACCAACAAATGACTGAAAGCAATGTGCAAGCTATATAAATGAAAAATATTAATAAGCAAGAATGGTTTTTAAACTAGCAGGATTTGAAATAGCATGTGCACAGCTGATATTTTTAAATAATGTATTTTATACTTAGAATATCTTGACTTTCCAATAATGTTAATACTGAGCAGACTGTTCAGTTTAACTATCCAGCTAATTCAGATAGAATGCAAATTTGAAATAAGTTGGGTGCTAATTTATGTGAATTTGGGTTAGCTCTTTGGTATCCAACATGTTTTTGTGTTCTACAGAATCCATGGAAATTTGTGGTAAAAAACAGAGTTTATCCCTATGTCACATTTAAATAATAACAATTCTTAAAATCACAGCTTGGTGGTGAATGTCTGTAATCACAGCACTGGGGGGAGACAGAGGAATCCAGCATAGGAGCCCAGCTTGGGCTATATAGCAAGGCCATGTGTAAAAACAAACAAGGCAACAGGATGATACATGCCTTAATCTTAATACTGTAGAGGCAGAGGGAGGTGGATCTGTGCAAGTTTGAGGCCAGAGTGCTCTACATAGGGAGTTCCAGAGAATCTTGGGTTATGTGAGATGTTGTCTAAAAATAACCAAACAAACAAACAAAAATCAAGCTAGAGTCTGCCCGACTAACAGGGCACTAAAAAACTTCTCTCTCTTGGAGAGCCCTTGGAAGTTTGAGAAAAATGTGGCTTGAAACAGCGAGTTTTCGTATAGTTTCTTATCTTTTGTTGGTATAGTACTTAAAACAAGATTTTGGGTTTTTTTTTTTTTTTTTTACAAAACACCTTTAAAATATTTCCCCTGACACTTGTCAAAATAAATAATCGGTCTATTTAAATTTGGAATACAGAAAAAAGCTGGAGATTTATAGTGCATAATCTGAGGGGATCAACATGTAAAATGCTACCAAAAGGAGATATCAGGGGAGTTTATTGCTAGGCTAATTTAACAGGGTCTTTACTAGAGAATGTCTGGGTTATTAGACATCAAACGAGGAGCAAGCCTGAAATTTCTGTTAAAGTCAACAGAATTCTTGCAAGAACTAGAGGCCAAAGATAGGGCCTAAAAAGGAACACTTAATCAGAAAGACGCTTCAGTGGAGCATCCTGACTACTGGTTATCCTGTTGTATTACCGTCTGCCGCTCCTCCCTCCGTTCCTTTAGCTTTTTTTTTTTTTTTAATCTCTTGGAAATTTAGAGCAGATTAGGAATGCCCAGGCAACAGTAGAAAAGAGCATAGACTACATTTCCCATAAGCAGTCGTTGGGCGGGGACCCAGCTATTCCGCCCCAATCCCAAGCCTTGCGGCTGCGCACAAAGTGATGAAGGAGCTGTGCTGGGACGTGTGGGCGGTGACGGGACTGTATGTGTGTGTGTGTGTTTGTGTGGAGGAGGAGGCCGAGGAAAACGAGAGACCATAGACTTCCACCTCGGCCTAGAGCGTCCTTTAAAGTGTTGGGGAGAGGCGGGCGGGGACCACTCCCAACTGGCCGCTGGCGGTATCATGGCGTCCCGGAACCCCCCTCCCCAAGGTGAGCAGCCAGGGCCCGAAGAAGTCTCTGGGACGCTGCCCACAGCTCTCGACCTTTTATTCCTACGGTGTTTCTCCCTTCCCCTCCTCCAGTGTTTCTGGGGCTTGGTCCCTGTACAGCCCCTTTGAGAGACCCCCTCCGAACCAGACGTCTCCCTTCCCTCTTTGAGGAGCTTAGCACGCTCACCCATACCTAACCAAAGCTAGACCCTGCCCCGCCCCCCCCCCCCCCGCCCTTCTCCATCTTGTAACAGTACGAGGGTTGGCGGGTTGATCTCCATTTGGTTGGTTGCATTTTAGTACAGTTCTGATTTCCTCCTGCTGGGTTCCTGACCTTTCCTTTCATGGGAGGATCATTCCCTCGCCCCTTTTCCCACAGATGGAAATGCACCCTGCCCTGGGCGGGTGACCGCCCACCGCTTTGTAATTCAACTGGCCTCTGGCTGCGTGTCCCTATGCCTTTGGAAAGGAAACGGGGATGCTGTTGCTAGGCCCTATACGCTTGAGGCCCTAGTCTCAGGGATCAAGTTAATCATGCTCAGTCTTTTACATCTGGGCCTTTTTAGTTGTAGGCCAGACATAACAGTGAGTTGCCCCACAGCTTTTATGAAAACAGTCTGTGAGACGTTTCTGACTGTAGAATCAATTTATTTTGTTTCCATTTTGTATGTTTAAAGACTATGAAAGCGATGACGAATCTTACGAAGTGTTGGATTTAACTGAGTATGCAAGAAGACACCACTGGTGGAATCGAGTATTTGGCCACAGTTCCGGACCTATGGTAGAAAAATACTCAGTAGCTACCCAGATTGTAATGGGCGGCGTGACTGGCTGGTGAGAACATTCTTTTCATTAAATTTCAATGGGAACCTGGCTATTGTCCTTTTGTAAATGACACAGCCTCCATAAATCTTCAGTGGCTCTCCACGGTTAAATTCCAGAAGAGCACAACTTTGGGGCTTTTCCCTGATCTAATTGGTTGTATCAACCTTCAGATACTCCTTGTTGGATTTTGATGATTTCCTTCTGTCGAAGGCCCACTGTAGTTCCATTTTCCACCATTTAGCCTTCGTTTAATTCATTATCAAATTTCTAACTTTAGCAAGTTGATTATAAGTTGTTACATGCTATTCAGTGCCAATTGGAAAAAACCTTGAACACTCCCACTGCAGAACTGGCCTCTAGGATTCGCAGCTCTGTACATGGAAGCATTAATGCTCTGTAAAAATTATTCACGATGGTGCAGCAGATTCCATTTTTTTGTGTACTAGTTCTGATGATAAATAGTGCTTTGAAGAAAATCTGAGAAGAGTGCTTTTGTGTTAGAATTGATGGCATGATTACTTATGCAGTAATGTGGAGCACAATAAGGAGTGGGTAATAACCATTAACTAAGCAAGAACTCATGTAAATACATGTTTACACTGTTGTTACCATGTATTTTAATTCTATTAGTTTTGGAATAAAATATTAACAAGATAACAAGGGACAGAAAGAGTTCAGTATTTTGAAAAACGTTGATGACTCTTTTTTTGAAGTGGCAGTACTTAAGTTGTAAGCAATTTTTTCTTTACATTTTAAGGTAAATTCCTCTTGTGTTAATTAAAATATTTACACACTTCCTCTTGGCATGGGTAAATGACATTTCTTCATGTGTGTTTTTCATGCACCTTGGAATAATGATGCTCCCCATGCCTTCTTGTAAATGCCATTTTATAATTTAAAACAAACAAAAACCAGTTATTGTGACGATTCCATGGAGCACAGTATTAATACTGCTTTACTGAAAAATCACACAGAACAGAAATTTCTGCTTATGGCCTTGGTTACTTAGATGTTAAGTGTAGGATGATTACAACTCCGCCCCCTTTAAATGCATTTATAATTTGGTGCCAGAGGTAATTGGTTATCGAAAGTCATGGCCGAAAGCCCAGTGCTACAAGATACTTTAAAAAGAATTGAGGAATGGAATTCTCAGATTGTTGTACATTTTCTTCTTGTAGACCTAACCTGGTAAGAAGGCCCGTAATTGCCAGGTCTTCTTATAAACCCTAATGGCAGAGCAGAAGTTAGTAGGGCTATCTTAGTGACCAGTATTCAGCTTGTGTAGCATTTAACCTGAGATTTTGTAGAGACTTCACTACTTGCTTATTTTTCTTTTTCTGAGCCTTTATTACTGACTCCTATATGAGAAACATATTCTTAATAATAATAATACATTTGGATTGTCAGTATCATCCAAATATTCAACTCAGGAGCTATGTAATAGTTTGTGGGTGTTTGTTTTTTACATCCATCTATTTGTGTGTATATACATCCATCTATTTGCGTGTATATACATCCATCTATTTGTGTATATATACAGATGTGCCCCAGTATATATATGGAGGTCAGAGGACAGCTTGCAGGAGTCTGATCTCTCTACCATGTTGGTTTTGGGGATCAAACTCGGGTCTTTAGGCTTGGTGGCAAGTGCTTTTACCTGCTTAGCCATCTCTATGACCTGATCTGTGTAATAGGACACTTATATTCAGGTGGCTTGTTTTTGTCTTGTGTGGGGACAAATTCAGGACCTTGCAAGCACTCTACCTCTAAGTGATATTGCCAGTACATAGGTGATTTGTTGCAATGACTTGGTGTGTAGTATAGATTCAGTGTAGAAAAAAGATTTGAGGAATGGAATTCTCAGATTGTTGAGAACATTTGAAATCTTCTTAGGATATAACATTGATATAATATTGTGGCACAAAAGAGGAGAAGGTAATAGGCATAAACCTAACTTAACACTTGAGACCAATTCAAGACATGAAGAATCACCTAAGGAGATTGTATTTAGCCATAGTTTTTTGTTTTTTTTTTTATAAGAACTGAAAACTAATATGAGAGTAGGTGGTTGCTAGGAGACCTGGAAGCCCTGAATACTGATTCTGCTGTTAGAGTGTGACCCAGAGGCAAAGCTATGTAATCCCAAAATTATATTCAAAAAGTAATGATGCCCTTCAGAGTGGAAAGAAGGGCTGGCGAGATAGCTCAGCAAGTAGGCTTGATGCCAAGCCTGGTGACCTGAGTTCTATCCACAGGTCCCATATGGTGAAGAGAACCAACTCATGTACATTGTGCTTGGATGTGTATGAATGTTTAGACACATACTACATAAAAAATTAATAAAAAATAGAAAGGAGAAAACAGGCAATGTTTTCAAGATGGGGTATTTGAAGATAAGGATAGGAGTCTGAGATGAACAGGACCTGACAAATGGGGGACAGTACCATCAGTTAGAAATTGCGGCCTCAGTAGCAGCTGTTTGGGCTGTGTTTGTGTCCCTGTGACAGGACATATATTGAGTTAAGGGCCTACTGTGCTCCAGTATGACCTCATTTTACTTAATTACATCAATAGTGACCTGATTTCCAAGTACAGTCTCATGAATGACACTAATTTGTTGGGAACACCAATTCAGGGCACAAGGCTAGGATTAGAAATCTGGGATTCTTTTGTGCAACTTGGATCTGGAATAGTGAGTGGACCATGAGTGTGCTCAAAAGGCATAGGTTGACATTCCTAAGTTAGATGAGACAAGATAAGCTTCATACAGAAAATCAATACTAGATAAGGTGAGAAATGTGGCCAGTGTAATCATCGAAGTGGAATGACACAAGGGGCAGGAAAGTTTTTCCTAAGCAGGAAATTAATAACTCAAATAAAGCTGCTGACTCATTTGAAACTAACCGGGCTGGAGCTGGTTTGGATAGACTGAGTGTTGCCCAGGTGTATGGAACACCTTGACTGCATTAAGCAAAACAAACAAGTGACTTAACTGTGGGAGATTCTAGCTTACACCACTGTAGCAGTATAATGAACACAAGTACTCATGATTGGTTTCAATAGCTGCTTTTTTGATTTAAGTCTCCTTCTTCTCGCCTTTCCTCACTATACAGCAAATCTCAGACATTCTAGAGTGTGCATTTTAACCATTCTGTATGACTGAAGGAAGACACGGAATGTTTCTGAGCGGGCAAAGGACACTATCAAAAGAAATGGGAAGACATTAAGCTTTTATTAGGAAAGCAATAAAATGTAGAAGAAATTGAGTACAGCAGTGATTGTTCTCATCTTTTGTTATTTCTGTCATTAAAGGTGTGCAGGATTTTTATTCCAGAAGGTTGGAAAACTTGCTGCAACTGCAGTAGGTGGGGGTTTTCTTCTTCTACAGGTATGTTAGACCTTTATGTCTATGCTTAAAGATGCTTATGTTTATGACAGAGTAGAGAATGTTAACTTTACCCATTTCCTTGCTGGTCATTGCAATAGAAGGTATAATTTTTCTTTTAGGCATTGGTTTATAGAAAAACTGTAATGAGCTTTGAAAGTTTGCATCTGTCAGGCAAGAAAACAAATACTTCTAGATTCTCTAATGTATGCACAGTGTGATGTGATATTAGCTGTTTAAAAAGATAACTGAGTCTGATGTGGTTCCATACATCCATAATCCCAGCTACTCAGAAGGCTGAGGGAGAAGGACCACAAGTCCAAAGCAAGACATAATCTTCAAACCAAACCAAACCAAACCAAACAGATTTGGGGGTATAGCTTAGAAGTTCAGCTTTTGAATTTTACCAGTATCCTGGGATTATGGGTGTTTGCAACCGTACCTGGTTCTTAGATTGCACTGTTCATACATTATAGTTTTTCCATAAACTAATGCCTAGTTATGTCAAATGCTGAGCAACTAATAACATTTCTGACTTTTTTTTTAAACTAAAGAACCAGAGCTAAGTGTGGTGGTATAGGCCCGGAATCCCAGCACTCCAAAGGGTGAGAGAGGTTAAGATAGAAGAATGTAGAAATCAGGCCAGCTTGGCCTACCAGTTATATACTGAGACATTATAGGGGAAGGAAGAGAAAAGAAAGAAGACAGAAAGGAAGGAAGAAGCAAAAAGTAGAAAATTAAGTTTAAAAACTATCCATAATCCTATCTACAGTACTATTTCTGATACAGGTGGATTAAAATTTTAATTTTGTTCATCCTCTTTTAGGGGTAAAATCCTTTGCTATTAGAGAGTGTTTATGAGGATATTATCTACCATTCATGTCTGTTTGATATGTGTTGTCCTTAAAATAGCATTTCCTGAAGAAGATCAAATACAGTAAATCTCAAAATTGAAGATTTGGGAATAAATGTTAGCAGTTTTAAAGATGCAAAGAACTGTCAGTTATATCAGAGTTAAGAAATGATTGCTGTTAATAGCAACCAAAATCCGACATTAGAACCTAAGCCATCGATCGATCCTGTAATAACGAATGTAGCCATTTTAAGTGCAAAGAGATAGTATTTATATGAGTTAAGAACTGGTGTAAGTAGTTTCCTAGTCAACTGTTTTAAGGCTGTATTTTCTACTAATAACAATCTTAATATTGTTATTTAATATTGCTTGTGCTAGAGCTAAAACAATGTGATTAATTTCTAAATTTGGTTCTTTGGATGTATGCTAGTGTTTATACAGAAGAGAATTTTACTTACGCTGATTTGGCTTGCAGTTGTATAGAATGATACAGATGATATGATAAATATCATAAACATATTTAAGTCTGTCAGTATTTTGAAAACTGAGTTGTCATTTGTGTTCAGTGAAAAAGGCACTAGACTGAAGCAGAGTGGACTAAAACTGTTGACAGAATTGAATAGTGTGTTTTCATCTGTTTCTGCATGTTTGCCTCTCAGAAGTCTATTTCAGTTGTTCAGTAGTCACTGTTCAAATCCACATTTTATTACTAGTACTTCCTACTTTTCTAAGCCTGGCATTTTTGAAGTCTAAAGCAGAAGGGCACAGGTCCTGTCTGCATCAAATCACTTTCACCCACAGATATAATTAGCCTGGAAAACACAGTAGGAGGGACTTGAAAGAAAAACTAGAGAAAGAAACGGCTTTTAAGCTAATTAATTGCTTCATATGCTTAGGCCTGATTCCATATTTCATAACATTTGCTTGTAATTAAACATAAGTATTAGTTTGAGTTAAGACTTAAAGCTTTGCTAGTAACAATATTAAATGTTTTTCAGTAGATATTTATCATATTGCCTTCTAAAATAGACATTGGAGCTGCTCTGAGTACAAGAGTATTTACAACTAATGAATCCTAACCAATTACAGATTTCTCCATCACCCCTGCTTAACTTTAGAAAAGTAGACAATGTTATACAAGTGTTTGAGCTTTCTACAGTTATATATACACCCATAAATAAGGGACACATACTTGTGTAGTGCTTGTCAGAGCTTAATCCTCTGCTCCTCCTATCCTGACTTTACCCCTCCTCTTTAACCTGTCACAGAGCCTCCTTTTCCTTGACTTAATTGACCAATTTGTGATCTTTGAGCTGCAGGTGTTCACTATTGGCTTCACATTATGGAATATTCACTGTTATTTTTGAGTCATCCTGTTCTATTCCCAACCGGATGCTTTCTGTCCCTCCCCCATGCCCTCTGGCCCGATCTTGAGTATTATTTCATAGTTGTGTACCTATGGTTAAGTGAGCTTCTTGAATTCATGTTTTTTTTTTTTAATTTAAAATACACACAATACATTCTGATCATGGTCCCCCCTCTCCACTCCTCCAAGACCCTCCCACCTCCCCACCACTCAGTTTTACACCTCCCTTTCTCTCTTCAAAAAACAGGCAAACAAAACAAAACCCAGAATAAAAATGAACAAATAAATTTTCTTTTTTAAGGCAGAAAAAGCAACAGAAACACTTGAGGTTTAGACCCTTATTTCCAGTAAAGCGTTCGGGATTTTTTCTTTTGATGTATTCCTATTATCTAAATCTTCTCTTGTAGGAATATGCGTTAGGTAGCCTGTTTAGTGTTCTGGAGAGGGCTGTCTCACTCTTCAGTCCTGCTAGTTTTCTAGGCCTTGCATGCACTCGTTCTCTAGGGGATTTCCCTTTCAGTACCATTTTGGATGTTCCCTTTGCTTTGTCTTGGTTTCCTATTTTCAAGGGCCATGTCTTCCCATTATTACATCTTCAAGTAACTTGTGGCGAAAATAAGCATGGCCAGTGTAATTTTTGAGATTTTTGCATGTCTGAATGAGTAATAATTTAACTGGGTTTAGATATTGCTTCATTGTCTTCCATATTCAGTGTTGCTGTTTAGTCTCAAGCAGTTCTAGTGCCTGACCGTTTGTATGCAGACCTCTCTCCCTGACCTCACAGCAAACGCTTAGCAGATTTTTCCTTGTGAGTGTGTTTGTGTTCTGGTTTGTCACATGGTAGTCCTTGCTGTGGGCCTGTTCTTACCCATTGTAACCCTTTTCAACTCAAACATTTTTTTGATATTAGCTAATAAGTCCCCGTTCTTTGTTCACTCTCAGTGCTGCCTGCCAGTGTATTTCCGATGATATGGATCTATCTCCTAGACTGGCTGGCTAATTTTCAGAGCTCATCTTCCTGTTTTTTAGTTACATCTTTTTGGTTTACTTTCTGGGAAATATTTTCAATTTTAGTTTCTAGCTGAGGTTTTCATTTATGTCTATTAATTTATTGGTACTGAGAATTCACTAGGCAAGCATTCTACCACTGCGGTACATGTAGCACCAGCCCTTGTGCTTATATTTTTAATTCCTATGAAATATTTATGATTATTTAAAGAGATTCAGAGGTAGACTATGTTTATATGAGATTTACTCTCCTGAATCCCATTTCTGTTACTGAGGAGAACACAAGCATTGGTGGAAACCACGTTAACTGCTTGTCTGTAGCCCATGAAGGTAGGGAGAAATTGAGTGCTTTGATGCCTTCTCTAATTTGAATTGAAAACAAAAGATTCTTAAAAGCTCCCACAGAGGCTTGCTGTGCCAGGGTGGAAGGGATACCCAGGGGGAACCCAACCTTTTAAAGGAGAAGGGGATGGGAGGGGGTGACCAGGAGGGGGCAGTGAGCAAGATGTAAAGTGAATTAAAAAATTACTGTTAAACATATATAAATATACATATATATGCATACACACACACACACACACACACACACACACACACACATATATATATATATATATATATATATATTTATATATTGATATATTGAGAAAAATAAGAGTGAAAGAATGAATGAGTGATGGGGCTGAAATTTTTTAAATTGCCAGGTACTAGCCTTTATTGGCTACGGGTCTTGAGTGTTGGTTCCAATGGTCTGTCATGCATGAAGTTCTTAGTTTCTATACAGAATGTTTACCAGTTTATTTTTTCAGTGTTATAGACAACACAGCAGTGATAGCCATCTGTTTGCAGTACTGGAGATTTAGCTCAGGGTCTCATGTGTGCCTAGCACACCCTCTCCCACTGAGTTACAACCCAGACTCTTAATTCACCACCCATTTTCATCTTTCACATTCCTCTGAAACAAAACAAACATATTAAAGCCTTTTGATTATCAAGCACTTTTAGTAAGTATACATCCATTGCATTTCCGTGTCAGTACTAGGAATTAAAATCAGGTTTTCATGTTTGTATAGCAGACCTTTTGCCTTCTGAGCCATTTCCCCAGTATGCATGCCTGCCTGCCTGCCTTTTTATTTCCTTCCTTCCTTCCTTCCTTCCTTCCTTCCTTCAATCCATCCATCCATCTATCCATCCATCCATCCATCTTTTCTTTCCTCCTTCTAGCCCCTCCCCTCCCCTCCCTTCCCTCCCTCTTTTCTTCTCTCCTTCCCTGTTTTGTTTTTTTCTTATGGTATTGGGGGTCAAACCCAGGGCCTTGTGCATACAAGGCAAATTTGAAATGCTTTACCACTGAGTTACATTTTCAGCTCTTGTTTTATTTTAAAAAAATAGCTCTCCCTACAGCTTTTGCTCCCCTAATTTTTGTTTTTATTGGTGTTTTGGTTGTTTTGTTTTGCAGTGTTAAGAATTAAACATGCTAGACAAGTAGCCAATCACTGAACTTCAGCCCCAGCCCCTTCTCTAAGTGTACCCCTCCCCTTCCTAGCTTGTTTTGCTCTCCTGTTTTCAGATTAAAAGCCTTCCCTCCTCTGTGTCTGATGATCCTTGGTTGTTCATGTTTAAGAGCTAGGCAGTAAAATTTGATGTAACTCTAAATCCTTAATGGGAGTTTTTATTTCGGGAAATCTAACCAGTCTAAGAAAAAATTTCTGACGTTCTGAAATTGGGAGTTGGGGAAGTCTGTCTTCCCAATGGAACAGCCAGTTGAATCACTGATGGCGAGACCAACAAGCAGGAAGCCCTACCTTCCTCATTACAGCTTCCAAGCAGAAGTGAATCTTTGTCTGAAAGCTTGGTGCTATTTTTAACATGTAATTTTTTTTTTTTTTACTTTGTGGTTCTGGAGATCTAACCCAGGATGTTATATATGCCAGATAAGAACTATACCACTGAACTATAAACTCAACTCCTTGTTTTTAATGGAGAAGCTTTTATTTTAATAAAGCTTCTTTACTCAATGTCATTAAATAGTGAAGTGCTGTAGGAAAGTCAAGTACAGTTTAGTCCAATTACTTTGTTGAGTGGTCTTTGAAACAGGTTGGTTAGCACAGTTTTGGAGATTTAATATTTATTCATGGTCTTTATTATCATTCACCCAGCATTTCTCACTCATCTTCTTGGATGACATTATTTGTTAGCAGGGATATAGAGATTTACAGTTCCTGGCAAACAAATATAATCATATGGTCAAGGCCAAGCTGGATGGGTGCCTGTGATGTGGTAAGAGTGCAGGAACAGGACTTGGATTGCTTGGAGGTGTTGGAGAGGAGGACCCCAGAGAGACAGTGATATGCTAGCCATCTCAATACTTCTCATCTCCCTGCAACTGGGTGATACTCTATTCTAACCAATAACTAAAGGCATGCACAGAAAATCTTTGCATTTCTGTAAAAAGAAATTCAACCTACAGTTAAATTCTGTTAAGGTTTCAAAGCAGTCAATTAGTTTGAACACTTCCTAAGGCAACTTTTCGGTTTTCATGTAGAAAGACTCCTTTAAAGTTCATTGTTACCTCCATGCCTATGATCTGAATCACTGTGTCAGGTTCTACCAGAAAAAAAATCATATGCCACTCAGTTTGATCACCTCTCTTGCTGAGGCTGGAGTCTGATGGGTACCTGGTAAGTATAGGATGAGCAAAGTCTGCTGTGGAGTCACTCACAGAGAACATGGAGCCTAAGGTGGCAGTCAGACTCTTTATATGAAATCAGATATTTTTGTTATTTGAAATATTTTGTATGTGGTTAAAAGCTATAAAGAATGCATCAGACTGATAGAAATGACTTGTAACAGTATATATAGTTTATTTATTTCTTGTAAGATTATTTATATTTAGATTTTACTTATACTGGTTACATCTCACTATTGTTCCTGTTCCAGTTTTGCCAGTGGCCCAGTAGCTTCATATAATGGTTTGTAAGATGAATAAGCATTTAGCTATAGTTTTAGAAAAAAGATTAATTGTCTGAAATTTATTATGGAAAGCAATTACTATAAAGTCTATAAATGAAAATGGAAGTCCCTTTACTTCCCTTTCCTACCTCCAATTCTATGTGCCCTGCTCTCAAAATTCATGGCCTCCTTCTCTTTGTTATTATTACATATAGGTATAAATGCATGCATCTAGTGTTGCTTTATGTATATGATTTCAGGGATGACAACTTGGAACCTGATAACCAATTAGAGGCTCTACTCTGGGGTTGACTCATCTCCCCATTTCAGGAGTCCTTAGTTGCCTGTAGTTCTTTGTCTAAGGGTGGGGCCCCATGAGACTTTCTCTTCTATTATAGCTGTATATTGGTATTCTCATTGTTCAGATCCTCTTTAAGCAGCCATATTGGTGAAATTTCATGGGTGTAGCTTGCCTGCCATTTGTAGAAGACAAGATCTTACAGCAAATTTCCTGGTCCTTTACCTCTTTTATTCGGAGATACTCTATGAGACTTAGGTTCAGGAGTTGTGTTATAGATGTATCCCTCAGGTCTGAGTTGTGTTTTGTAATTATATCCATCTGCTGTAAAGCAAAGCTGCTTTGATTATGGGTAAAAGCTACACTTATCTGGGTATCTAGGTAAGTATTTAGAATGTAGTTAGGAATTGTGCTGATTTAGTAAAGTAGCAGTACTAGGTTCACCTCTAAGGTCCGTGATTTCACTATTTCTGTGTGGTTGGCTAGCTTTGCAGTAAGTACCAGATACAATTTTCCTCCTGTTGACCAGGTCTTAAGTCCAAATAGATAGATATGTTTGTTACTACCAAGATATGAGTGTCACTATTGTGCCTTTAGGGATATCTTCTCATACTGTTAATTGTTGTGATTAATAGGCACAATGGATGGGTAGGACTGTTGGTTGCTTTCTTCCCTTGGCCTTATGTATTGGACCTCCTGGTACCATAAGAGGTAGTCCACAGGGAGCCAGCTTCCAGGTCATGTCTAGTTCAGATCCTCCAAGTTGTCTGTTTAAAGTGTGTCATGTACTCAGCAATGGATACTGACTTTCAACCTCTGGGAAATGACCAAGGGCAATAGCAATAGCGTATATCATTTTGGAAGTCTCTTCGACTCCTGAGCAACTTGAGATGGCATTTTTTATCAGCTGCTGTTCAGCAGTCAGTGGCTCTGGTGGGTAGTAGTGTCAGCCCAAGTGGCATAACTTTATGTATGTATGTATGTATGTACGTACATACGCATATATATGTATACAATATGCATCTCTATATATGTATATATAAACAGTAATGTGCATTATATGTAATTTTAAGTAAATAAAAAAATAATATGATCCTTTATGGCTTTTTCAAGCATCCTTAGTGCTCTTTTCCTTTTCCTCATGCTCCATATTGACCTCCTTTCCCTCTCCCCAATTAAGCCTCATTCCCGATTTCCCTCCTTTCTCCTTTAAATCAGTTGTATCCTGCTGTTCCCATCTCTAGCACACTCCATACTTTTGACACATCCCCTTTTTTCCCCTGATTTCTGTGGTTAGCCCAGGTTATAATCTCAAATCTGAAGATTTGGAGCCAGGAACTACAGATGAGACAGAACATGTGGTGTTGGTCTTTCTGGGTCTGAGCTACCTCATTCAGTAAAATGTTTTCTAGTTCTGTTTACCTGGAAATTATTTTATTTTTTTCTTTACAACGGAATTGTATTCCATAGTATATATGTACCACATTTTCATTAGCCATTCATCAGCTGTAGAACGTTTAAGTTGTTTCCATTTCCTAGCTCGTGTGAACAGAGGAACAGTGAGCATCGATGGCTGAGCAAGTATCTGTGGAGTAGATGTTGAGTCACTGGGCATTTGCCAAGGAGTAGTGTACCCAAGTCATTTGGTGGATTTATTATTTTTTCTCCACACTGATATCCAAATGGACTACATCAGTTTGCTGTCCCACCAACAGTGAATGGAGGTTCACTTTCCCCCACGCTCTCTTCTTAAATTAAGTAGATTCAGAGCTAGTGACGTTTCTTTATCGGGCTATTTTAGATTTAATAACTTGTCAACTGGTTGCTTTCTGATTGCTAGCTATTTCACATCTATTTAATTAAAAGGTACTTTTTATTAGTCATATACTTTAGATAATCTGTCTTTTTAGCTGATTCCCTATTCTAAAGGGTAGGATGAAAGCTGTTAGAATAGTTATACAGCTTTTTGAATCTTTCCCAGCATGTACTGTATTTTTCTTAACCCTGTGTTCATTGCATCTAAGGAGCTAGTTAGTTACTGTGTTAAAACTCTGAGTTTCTAACTGCACCAGGGCACTCCTAACAAAAGTAGGAACAACGCTCCCTTTGTTCACTTCCTCTTGACTGAGTACATTGGCAAGTCAGTAACAGTTTCTTAGAAGTTCTAGGAATTCCTGCAAAACTACATGGCCTTCCACTTCTGGGCTAATAGTCATTCTCATTGTGTGTTTACAGGTTGCCAGTCACAGTGGCTATGTGCAGATCGACTGGAAGAGAGTTGAAAAAGATGTAAACAAAGCAAAAAGGCAGATTAAAAAGCGAGCAAATAAAGCAGCACCTGAAATCAACAATATCATTGAAGAAGTAAGACAATGAGAAATTTGGCCTTCTGGTTTTTGGTAATAGGTTTCAGTAGAAAATATGATTGGGGATTGAATTATTTTAATGATGTTTGAGCCAGGCATGATAGCTCGCTCATACCTATAATCCTAGCACTTAGGAGACTGAATCAGGAGAATTGCCCTGAGTTATAGACCAGTCTGCTGGCCTGAGCTACAAAATAAAACTGTGTTTCAAGAAAGCAGAGCAGACAAAAAAACCAAACAAACAAATAACAAAAAAGGAAAGAAAATAGTTGGGAATATTAATTTATCTTGAATTCAGTAAATAAGAGGATCTTTTAAAATTTGCATTTTATTGTTGTTAAAATAAATACATCAAGTTTACCATGTGCAAGTATACAATTCAGAGGCACTATATACATACATGCTTCTGTATAGTCATTACCATTATCCATTTGCATAACTTAAAAAAATAATTTTATTAAATACTATTTTCCCCAATTTCCCCTCCCCTAACTTCCACTCATTTTTTTGGACTGTCAGTTCATTAGAGTGTATGTAAATAGAATTGTGCATTTGTCCTGTTATCCTATCTCATTCAATGTAATATGTAACATAATCTAATTAATATATTAATATCTATTCAGTGTAAAGTTGTAGCATCAGTATGAGTATTTTTCTTGACTCTTTGATTTTCAGGCAACAGACTTTATCAAGCAGAACATCGTGATATCCAGTGGCTTCGTGGGCGGCTTTTTGCTAGGCCTGGCATCTTAAGGACTTGAAGGCTCTATGGTAGTGAATCCAACAGTGGGAGGAAGACTCTCAATGGCACAATGCTACCAGAGTCTCCAGAGTAAGGATCAGCCAGCTGGACAATTGCAAATGCAGCAGCTTAGCATTTTGCCACCTGCAGCTTACCAAGCTAGTATCTGCTGTAAGACAACCTATGTGGTGTGTAAACAATAGTATTCTTGAGCAAATCATGGATTTTACAAATTTTTAAATTTATGTTTGTTTAGAAACTAGCCTATGATTATCATCACTGGATATAGTGGACACAGAAAAAGCTGTTACATGTACTGTCCAATGAAACACTACCCTATCTTCTTTTCAAAGTTCTTCGTGCTTTACTGTCTAGTGCCAATAATTAAAACTTGTCTTATAGCTTCAATATTATGGCTGACTTTTCTTTTAAGATGCGTTTGCAATAAACTGAAGAATTGTTTTACCCCTTTGTGGAAGGTAACAATAGAATTATTAAGCTATTAAGCTCTTCTGATGCATCGATCTTGTAGGACTTTTCTCCCTTCTGTTTCTTACTTTGCTTATGTGTAATCTTTACATTAAAGAAGGCTTTTGTAATGAAATATTACATGCCTAACCCTTCTCTAATGTCTACAGTTTTTAAAATGTCTCCTTGTATGTTCTAATTTTTCGAGCCTGTTTGATTTATTTATCCCTGATAGCTTAAATAGAACTAATTTGGGAGTCTCTTATTAGTTGGATCATTGGTATGCTTTATTAATTTTAAATGCATCTCATTTTTTATTTCTAAAAAGTCCTAATTATTATTTTTTTGGCCTCGTCACCAAATGGTACAGGTTGCTTTAAAATACTTAGTAGTGTAATATAAACTTATTGTCTGAAGAACTGTGATTTTCTATGTAGTCATAAAATTATAGCTTAAATATAATTGCTTCCTTGATTATGTGATATAAGCACTAGGTTTCTCCAACATTGCTAGCACTATGTTACTTGAATATTAGGCCAGTTTCCTTGATTCTCTAGGCCAGCCTCACACTTGTTCTAAGCATCTCTTGTCCAAGAACAGCTTTCAGTATTGTTATTCTTGTTCATAGAATTCTAGGTTGTCCCTGGGGAAAACAGCAGAACAGTATAGGTTAGGGTCTTCAGATTGGAACTATTGCAACTATTCAGGCTATCTCCCTGTGATAGGAAGCTCCTATCATATATTCTGTGTCTTGTAAATGTGTCATTTCAAAATTTTTCATATTGGTTACAAGCTGTATGCTTGTACTGTCTTGAAATTCTTTAAACTCAAACGTGCGATTGAATTTTAGTTTCTTTTATTCTCATTAGTCCCTCATATAGAATGCTAAATAAACTCAGTTTCTTAATATGAAGGATTGTACTTATTCTTTACTTGTTATTCTTTTTGAGCTTTTCTCCATTTTCACTGACTAAAGCTTTCATTGTTATAAAATTAGAAAGGAGCAAATATCATGATTGTGTTCAGGTCATGTCAGTAGAACTGAGAAGTGTGGCCCTGCTTCTGAGCACCACACCTGGGTGCTACTGTGCAGCAAGGTAGGCTACTTCAAGGAACTCTAGTCTTTTTTTTTTAAGTTGCTTATAGCGTCTGCTCTTTGGGTGATATGTTAGAAAAGTAGGAAACACACCATGTCTGCTCTCAAGCTTTAATTAGAGGCATTACAATAATTCCAGTATTGAAGAATTCATATAGTAATGTGGAAGCTATTTGAATATGGTATTGTGTGGAGAGAATTTTCTTTAACAGTCCAAATTTACAAATGAAAACAAGAGTTCGAAATGGTGGTATACTGCAATAATGCCAGCATACAGAAAGCTGATGCAGGAGGAGCAGCGTGGCAGGAGGCCACAATGGGCTATGGAGTAAGCTCCTGTTTCACACAACAGAGGCTCAGTGTGGTGGTACTCACCTGTAATCCCTGCACTGGGAGGCAGATCTCCGTGAGTTCAAGACCAATTTGGTCTACATATCAAATTCTAGGCTAGCCAGGGATATGTAATAGACCCTATCTCTAAAACCCAAACCTAACTAAACACCACCAACAACAATAAAATAACAGGCAGCAAAAGATAACACTTTTATTGTACACTTATAAGTCTCTTGAGATGTTTGAAATGTTTTGTATGCAAATGTAAGTTGTTACCAGTACTCTGCCCTACCATCCCCTCTCTCAGTCTCCTTATTGCCCCTTCTGGCTATGCTGTTTCTCCCTCTAGGTTGAGCATTACCTGAAGCAATGTGTTACTCAGTCTCTTAACTTGTATGGCATATGGCACTGGGTAAATTTCCCTTATCTGAACTCTTGACATCAGAAAAATTTTTTACTTCATGTTCTGGAGTATTTCCTGTCATAGTTTTCTTCCTTCTGTTCCTGTGACAAAATAACAAAGAAACTTAAGCGGGGAAAGGTTTATTTTGGTTCTGAGTATAGTCTATTGGTTCTCAACCTATGGGTCATAACCCCTTTGGGAATCACATATCCAATGTTTACATTACTATTTATAACAGTAGCAAAATGACAGTTATGAAGTAGCAATGAGATAATTTTATGGTTGGGGGTCAGCACAGCATGAGGTGTCTTAAAGGATCCCAGTGTTAGGGAGGTTGAGAACAATGTTATCCTATCATCCATCAGAGTGGTGAAGTCAGGGCTGCAGAAGCATGGAGCTGCTGCCTCTGCTGCCACATCTGCAGTCAGGAAGAAAGCTGCTCACACACATTGTCTACATGTACCCTAACAGTAATGGTAATTTTATATAAGACTTCTTTAATATTGCAGTTAAGGAGGCTCTGGAGCTTCTCTTGGGGTTGCTGTGTAAATTTTTGTGCTTGCACTTGACTGGAACCTATCACATGAGCTAAGCTGTGGAATTTTCTATTTGGATGTATCATGTTGGTACTGATGAAGTAACTATTTGGAGAATGTTTTGGATTTTGGATTTTATTTTGGGGCCATATAATTTGTCTAGTGCTTTGCCTTTGGTAGCTGTTAATGGACTTCCACTGAGAAAGAAAAACCAAAGAACCACAAACTCAATTCAAATTGCAGTTAGCTGAGTTTATTAAAAACTACTTGCAGGGTGACAACCTTAATACCAAATTGAAGGCGTGTGGAACAGAGGGAAGGATTTTTAAAGGTGGAGACCACAATTAGCTTGTATCTGTGGAATTTGTAGCTGTATGAGAAGCTTTCTCCCCTTGTATACAGTGTTAATTAAGCAGGTTTTTACAGAAACCAGAGCAAGTGGTTAATTATCTCACAGCAGTTACACCATTATGGGAAGGGTATAGGTTGTTAGAAGCTCATCTTTCAGGAATTTAGGACAGAGGCCAGTGGCTCCAAAGGGTACCTGATACAGAATAGAGTTTCCTTAGGCATTGCATTCCACATTGGCTCCAGATCATATGAATCAAATCAGTGATTCATGTTGAGGAAAATGTTGATTCTGAGCCTATACAGCTACTATTTTAACAGTGGACATTTTATGAGATGGTATAATTAAAATTCAGAAGCCCATTACATTCTGCATTAGCTCTAGAACAGTGGTTCTCAGCCTTCCTAATGCTACGACCCTTTAATATAGTTCCCCATGTTGTGGTGACTCCCAACCATAAAATTATTTTCATTGCTACTTCATAACTGTAATTTTGCTTATGACTGATAATGTAAATATCTGTGTTTTCTAATGGCCTTAAGTGACCCCTGTGAATGGGTCATTTGACCCACAAAGGGGTTGAGAACCACAGCTCTAGGTGAACAAGTGTAATCTGGGGAATATAGTTCTAAGTCCCCTGGTATTTATACTGTTTGACACTGACATTCACAAATGAGCATTAGGATGTATAAACCAGCAAGAAGGAGAAAATAAACATCTGACTCCTCCAGGAAACTTCGGTACCCATGAAGTAAGCCATTCAATCAGATTCCAGCCCCCATCTTGAGTAGCACGTTTGCAAATTTTTTTCTCATTCAATATAATTATGATTTTATTGGTGTGTAAGCAAATTTTTTTATAACAAGTACTTAAGATACTGAGGGAGTCTGCAGACCAGCATGGGTCCTGGTATGCCAATAGCCACCATAGGTAGCCATTTTCCCTTTTGCCAGAGAGAAGAAAAACAACTTATTTTTGTAGAGAACTAGTTTCCTTTAGACCTAACTACTGCTTTTTATTAACTGCTTCTCAGCTGAAATTAGGACATTGTTGTCAGGACTCAAGAAGACTGGAATGCCATTCACAGGCCACAAAGGGCAGGCTTTGCTGCCCAGGTTATGCTGGGCCACCTGGGGCTAGCAAAGTACAGGGATTTTGAAGCAGTCTGGAATGCTGGTCCAAAACGGGGACTCAAGCTGGTAGGAAGTTCCATCAGAGCTCTCTGGTTTACATCAGCTTTCAGCAAGTCCAGTGCTGGGTGTTTCTGAAAGATAACTCTAGGCTAGTGTGTTCAGGATAGTTTCAGGAACTTAGGGGAGAATCTTAAAATTGAAACTTCCTGTCCTGTGATCCTCGTTGTTGGGGTGATGGAAAAAAAATCCAAGACTAAGGGTAGGAGAGAAACCACCCTTAGGAACAGGCAGTAACGTCAGGAAACTTAGACTGTTGACTGACACCAGAGGAGTACTTACCTGGAATCTATGTGACCTGGGACAGGTAGATCCAAGTCACAACTCAGCAAGCTTACATGAAGTGGTTTTTTTAAGTTTACAAAAATGAGATAAATGTTTTAGAGCTATTAGCATTTTTACTGTTTGTAATCTGTATTGTAATCCTCATTATAGAAAAAGTAGTTAATAAGTGTCTGTAAACAATTGGAGTAGACTCGTGCCTTTGAGCCATAGCAAAAGCTTGGGGACCCAAAAAATGATTCTGAATTAAAGGCATGAATACTTTTTCCTCTGTCCAGAGAGCCAGAGATATTGAACAGAGATGTTTTCAGCAGGATGAGAAGCACTTTTAAGTCTATACTTAGAAGACAACCAAAAGAAATTTTAAAATTTGACCTGTGATTCTAAGAGTAGCCAGTTCGTTCTTTCTTTCTTTCTTTCTTTCTTTCTTTCTTTCTTTCTTTCTTTTCTTTCTTTTCTTTCCTTCCTTCCTTCCTTTCTTTCTTTCTTTCTTTCTTTCTTTCTTTCTTTCTTTCTTTCTTTCTTATTTATTTATAATTTTTCCCAATCTGCTTTTATACCGTTTTCATTACATGTATGTATTAAGGTCAGTTCTAGGTTGAGGAACTAGCAATACAATAGATGCAAATAGTCAAGGAACAAGCAAGACAATAAACACAAATAGTCAAACTCCATTGGTTAATATGTTAAAACTATGGAAGTTTGAAGTCTTAATATCATGTATCTTAGTTTTATATATCTTAAATTATTTCCTTAGAAATTCATCATTTACATTTACATATCTTTTTATTTATTAATTTATCATAAGACACAAGTGGTTGTTTATTGAGAATGATCATTGAAAAACAAGTGTCTTAGGGTTTCTATTGGTGCAATGAAACAACATGACCTAAAAGAAAGTTGGGGAGGAAGGAGTTTATTTGGCTTACCCTTCCACATTGCTGTTCATTATTGAAGGAAGTCAGGACAGGAACTCACACAGGGAAGGAACCTGGGAACAGGAGCTGATCCAGAAGCCATGGAGAGGTGCTGTTTACTGGGTTGTTCATCATGACTTGCTCAACCTTGCTTTCTTG